AAGGGCATCGAGCAAATGTGTTCCGCTGAAGGGGTGTTCTTTAAAGCAGAAGCATAAGTCATTTCCGGGCGGAGGAATGTCATAGTTGAGACGGGTTGATGCTGAGTTTGATGCCAAAAGTCCCTGTTGCTGTAGACCGTGGCTCTGCTTTATTGGCTCGTTAAGAATTTGACTACTTTTCCAGTGGTACAAACTGGCCTCAGGACTCGGATGTCCTCGGTGACTTTCCCGAATGACAGAAGTTATGGACTTGACATTTTCAATTTCGAACAGAGACCTTGTACGTGTCAGATTAGCAAAAGGCTAAACGGGATCATGGAGTTTGAAATATCATATATGTCCGGCCCTGGAGATAGCAGTCAAAAGTTCAAAGGAGCCCGCAAATATGGGTTCCATCGATGCAAAGCTTGAAAACGATACTGACTTACCCGAGCTAAATAACGTACCAACAAAAGCTTTAGTCTCAGAGGGGCTCGAACCCTCGACCTTGGCCTTAACCTATTAGAGCCACGCTCTAACCAACTGAGCTATGAAACCAGGCATGCTTACGGTCGTTTCATGTAAAATTAAGTCGTCGGTAAATGCGATATAACCACGGTACACTGACGAGCGAGTTGATCAAGTCTCCGCCACTCATTACTCGAAGCACTAGTGGCCCAACTTGAACTCTCCTTCAGAACGGGGCACCGACCAGTGAAGCTGAATGATTTTGTTAATAACCAGTTTTCAAGGTGGTATCGCCTATCACACATACTACAAGAGCGGGAACGGTTTCATCACGACTTGGTCGTGACTCACAATGATATCTCCATAATGATCTCGCTTGAATGTCTTCATAGAACGAGCGGAATCGACTTCTGAGCACTTGTAAAGGAAGCTTTCTCCTCGGATGCAACAGTGATCTACCTACCTGTGACTATGAGTCAAACTGATTCTCATGAGAAGCGAGAACTTCCTAATTCAACTTTCCTAACTCAACTTTATAATATAAACCCAGATCCACGACCTCTAATTCCCCATCAATCGAACATTCAAACACAACAAATAACCACCATAGCCACTTCTTACAACCACATCCAAAACCACAACTTCCACCAACAACCTCGAATCTCAATCGAAATTACAATGTCTTCCCGCTCCACCCCACCAACCATCTACTATACCCACTACTGCTGCCGCTGCCCCCAACCAACCGCTGGCTCCGTTCCAGAGAAGCTCACCGAGCAACAAATCTACATCCTCCAGTTGCTCTACAAGCACCACGCAAAGCTCTCGGATGTCAAGTCCGGACTCTGTCCAACTTGCGCAGAATGGGCCGCTGCTTGGATCGGCCGAATGATCCGGATGGAGGGCAAGTTTGGGGAGATGGATGCTGGGCTTGAGGTCCTTCGGAGCCGGTTGAAGGGGTGAATGGTGTCTGTTGAATACAACAAAGTAATCCGAATTGACATCGGCAGTTGGGAGAAAAGCTGGAGATTCTGGTAAAGGTGTGTATTCCCTCGAAGTTGACGAAACGAAACTGGTGAAGCTAATGAAGACGTTAGGAAAGTCTTTACAGTTGAACGTATCTGAACTCCAGCTTCTACCACTTACTAAAGAGGCAAAATAGCTTCAATTTGCAGTCGAGATACAAGGGAATGAATCCATTAGAGTGGAATCATGTTCTTCGGTTACCTCCCAAAGAGGCAGTAAAAGTAAAGGCTTCTCTGGGCTGCGCTTTCGATACCCGAGGAGGAACGGTCATTTGTTGCAGGTATCCATCAATAGTTCGATACATGTTTCCAGTTTCTAGGCAATATATTAGCATTCATTCCATACTCACGGTTCTGTTCTCCCGATCCTGGCCTGCATAGGCATTGTCATTGAGTGTCTTAACCATGTATTGCGGATGAAGATCATGATGTGAAAATAATGAACAGGACACTTGAAGGAAACAGCATGGGAGAAACATGGTAATGGTACGATGACAAAGAGTAACACAGTCCAAGACGTCGGTGATCAAATCGATACAGCAAGCAACAATAACAAGACATGCAAAACAGACACGGTAACGGCGAAGAACTGACGAGGAGAACAACAGATGCAAACAAAAACTCCCTTCATTCCCCGTGAACGCCTATTGCGAACAAAACCAGATTCACCCAACAAAAACAAGCCCACAAAACCAAACGCAACCCATTCACTATCCTCCCCGTTCCACTTCCCTCTACCAGGCAACGTTCTGAACCACCGCCATCCCGGCCAGGCGAGCCCTTCCAGCGTTGTTCAACCACATGACGTTGCGACCGCCTTGCAATCTGAACGCCAGATAGTCCTATCAAAACTTCGTTAGTATCAAAACTCTTTCTAGCACAAAGAGAGGGAACTAACACGTCTGCGGCCCTTTCTTACCATATCCTCAACGTGTCTGTGAAGCCCGTTGGCGTTGACATAATGGGCGTGGATATGTGGGTGAGAATTGGCGATGGAGGCGGCAATCTCTTGGGCTGAGATTGGGTTTGCAGCGGTGGCAGCAGAGACGACAACTAGCATCTGGCGCTCCAGGAACCTGCGCTGTCTCAAGGTGAGCCTACGCTGAACTTCGGGAGCAGCTGGCATCGGTTCGTCGATAATTGGAGCGGCCGGAGTAGCAGAGACACCGGCGGTTATGGCAGCAGCAACAACCATGTGTGGAGCAGGAGCAGTAGCCGGAGTGGTGGGAAGGTTCGTGATATCCGTGAGGATAGCTGCAGGAACGAAACTAGAGGAGAGGGTGGTGTTGACGACGGTGGTGGTGCTCGTGGAGGATGCGGGATTCCCCATAGCCGTGGTGATTGGCATGACGGCATGAGGAAGAGGTCCATAGGGCACCTCAGGATTGGAATTAGCAGCGACGTGGGTCGTTGCGCCATCCAATCCTCCCTGGCTTTCCGGCCCATGTGCGAGAGGAGGCAAGTCCGTCTCGACGAGGTTGTTATCCTCGTTGTTGGCGGCCGGAAAGCCTACCAAGGGCAGCAAAGATCCCGTCACAGGATTGTATGGATGGGATTCTGCATCTTCTTGGGCGTTGATCCCAAAGAAACCAGTCAAATCCACTGGTTGGGCAGCACCTTCCCCAGCAGACGTTTCTGGATTCCCTTGGGAGCCCATGAGGGGAGCGCCCTCCGCCCACATCCTTGCAACGGGTGCTACCCTTGGACCCGTCGTGTAATCGAACGAGACGTGGTTGGCGAAATCGTCCATTTGCGTTTTGGTGTTAGGTCAGGAGCGAGAGTGTGAATAGTAGATGAGGAGATGGTCGCAACGATGGAGAGAAGTACAAGAAGAAGTGAAGAAGAAAAGGAGCGAAAAAGAGGAGAAAAGGTGACTGCTATACGTCCTAGAATAAGAGGGGAGGTATCACGAACATCCCCATTACCATCTTTGGATGTTTGCTCATCACCTATCTTCATTAGCATCCGACTAAATGGCCGAGATGAGAGACAAACATCACCAATTTCACCTCTAACGTCCCCTTTAGAACTTCAAAGCGACACTAACATCCCCATTGAATAGCTTCGTACTATTCTACCGTTGCCAGCGTGTGTTTGGATACCGAGATCTAAGTGATGAGGAACTGTTATGGAGAAGGATTCAAAGTGGGGCGTGCGAGAGTATTTATAGGGAATCTGAGACGGGACTTGGCGCTCCTGTCTAAGCCTGCCGTTGAGATCGCTGAGGAAGGAGTCCCGATTTTAGAGTGAGAATTCGAGTTGCTGCTGCAAAAATGGGATGAAAACTCAAGCTCAATCGAGCAGTCTTCGGGTGCCGACATTAGATGATGTGGAAGGAAGAGGAGGGATGAACAACGAGAACGCAACTAGATGTAAGGATATTATCAACACTACCAAACGCTGCATAGCTTAAGTACTTTTCAAAAGAATAACCCACAACGCCAGTATATAAGTATTGTGATACCTTCTCGCCAGACTGAATAAACCTCGCTAACCCTCAACAAAGATGCCAGCTTCTTTGACACGTCTCTCCCAATCGGCCATCAGCTCATCGGTGAAAAGCGAGAGTCCCGGGATCGCAGTCTTATCAAGGTCCTGGAAAGCTTCAAGAAAGCGCTTCTTGTTGCCGCTGTTTGATGCATCCATTGCGAGTTCGATTGGAACGAAAGACTTTCTTGCTTTCTCCAACCATGCTTCACCTAGCTTCACCGAAATCTCCTCTGAATAAATGTTGTCGGCTGTAAGCGTGGTGTCGAAGTTTCCTTTGGGACAGCTGTCAATGAAACTGCCCTTCATCTTTCCAAGCACTGGTGGCACTCCGCATCTTTCTCCCATGGCGGAAAAGTAGGTGATGGCTGCTAGCGAGCGAGATAGAAAAAGATCCCGACGGGCAACGAAGTTGCGCCGCTTCGCTTGAAGACGAGTGATCCGGAGTCTGAGCTTCAACGGGAGAGGAGGAGGATCGGACGGAGAATTAGGTGTCGCTGGATTTTTTGGCTTGCTGGTTCTCTTGGGCGGCATGGTGAAGGCCTGAGGTATCGACGCAAACGTTAGCTCCCTTCTATTCACAACACAGGCTGTCAATCTTGACAAGGGAAATCGATTGAGGGGAAGTGCTTACCGGATTGGTTGGTGTGGTGTGATGGAAGCGTTGAAAGGTTTGTTTAAGGACAATGAAGAGCGTGGTGTGATGAAAGCGTGGAGGGAAGGGTGTGGTGGAAAAGGAGCGGATGGAAAAGGAACAGAGGTGGAGAGTTAGAGTGGATTCGTAGTTAGCGGATAAGGTCTTGGCGACTTCCTGTAAAGGTAGGAGTCGGTAGGTCGGTCAGGGTAGGGCGTTTGCATCCGCAATGTGCCTCCTTGGGGACGGCAACAGAAACTTCAAGATTTAGGGTACTAGTGTGATCTGTCGGGGTCAAGGGGACATAACAAAAAGGATGATCTCCAACTCTTTACATTACCGACTATGAATCACTAACATGAGGAAAACTGCATACCTGACTGACATCCTCACCCGTATAACCAGTTCCCAACCATAAACTCCTCGCAACACTGAGCCCAAGAACCTAAACTGCTCCTACTCGCCCTCAATAAACATCCCAGCATCCTTTGCCTTCTTTTCCCAGTCCGCAATGATGTCCTCCTTGCAATAACTAACCTCTGGATGAGTTGCAAGAATCTCGTCCATCCCCTCGATAGCCTCCAAGTACTGCTTCTTGTTCCCATTGACCGTTGCATCCGCCAGCTTCTCCGCGACAGCGAGATGTTTCCTTGCATGAGTCAACCAGCTTTCGGCAGCGGCTACTAGTGCTTCTTGCGCATCGATATTCTCCGCCGTAAGGTTGGTGGTGAGGCCTGGGTCGTAGTCATGAAGAGGAAGAACGGTGCCCAACTGTCCCATTATATCCTGTCCTTTCAGCTTGTCATGCCAAACGGCATGGAACTCAGTTATCGTCGCGTTGAGGCGGGAAACGTAAAGATCTTTGCGGGAAAGGTAGTTGCGCTGCTTGGCTAGGAGACGTGTGATTCGGAGTCGGAGTCTCAATGCGGGGACTGAGTCGGGTGCTGGTTGCGCTGTCCTCGGCTTTGGTGGTTTGCTGGTTCGCTTTGGTGGCATGGTGAGGTTCTGTATTGATGCAAACGTTAGATTCATCCGCTCCACAACCACAGACTAGCAAACGAGATCGAAAGATTATGGGAATCGGAGTAACTGCTTACCGGATTGCTGGAAGGAGGGAAGCTGAAGGTAGGAGATGATACCTGGTTGACGACAACGCTTTGGTGGCTTGCTCGAAGGTGAGCGATGGAGGAATGTGGGTGATGTTTGGGAAAGGATGTCAAACGGAGTCGAATGGCATGCCAAAGGTCCCTCCCAGTGCTGAGTCTTGGCAAGTCAACAAAGAAGAAGATTGAGACAAAGCCATGCATGTAGGAGATACTGCGATAATGAAAAGGCATAAAGCTGCTAACGGTAGTGTTCGGACGGGATAGCAAGAGAGTCAGCCTCAGTGGCTTGGTGAAATCGGACACCAGCATAAGCTTTTGTGAGTGAATGAAGGATTTGTGAATAACGCTCTGTAAATTTCTGACGATGCATAGCAACTACGTATACGGGAAACTGCATACCTCGCTGATACCCAAACCACTAATCATAGAGAAAGAAACCTGCTCTTTCATGCAGTGCCAGGAGTACCAACATGAAGCAGCATCTACTCGCTCTCTCCAGAGATACCGGGTCTGCCAACCTGGTCCTCATCGGCCAGGTCAGCTTCCTCCCTTGCAACGCAAGCCAAAGCCTCGTTCAAGCCCGCTCTTGCTCGAGCTCTCCTAGCATTGCAAGACTTGCAACTCGCCTTCTTATCCTTCTCCTGTCTCCTTCTTATCACTTCATCCAAGCCTTTCTCCATGCGATACACCATCTGCCTCTCCTCCTTCTGAGCCTTTTCGGCAGCAACAAAGAAAGCCTCCTCCTTATCGATATTGTCGACCGTGAGCTCTGGAAATCTGAACTTTTCAAGCCGACCGAGAATATTGTGCGCCATATCTATAATATGGGGAGCCTCATCTTGGAGTTTCTTTCCGAATACCTCGAGGACCTCTGTCAATGATGCGGCGAGGCGGGCTTGGGCCAGGTCATTGCTGGTGACGAAGTGGTGTTGTTTGGCTTGAAGACGGGCAATTCGGAGGCTGAGTTTTGACTGGGGTTGGGGGTCGAGTGAGAGAGGAGGGCGCAATGTGCTAGCATTACTTGATGGTTTCCCTGTCTTCGACGTTGCTGCGTTGCTGGGGTTTCTTGGATGCATTGTGCGAACCTATACTGAACTAATCGTTAGCTCCAAATCTCCCATACACACAAGGCAGCAAGAACCTTCGTGTTTCCAGTCTTATGGGCGAAACGATTACCGGAATGTTGATAGTCGATGCCAGAAAATTAAAGTTCGAAGAGTCCGATTGATGGTGATTGATGTGGTTGGGCTAGTGCGATCAAAGCTAAAAATGACAAGTGGTGTGCGACTACCAGTGATGATGAGACGTTTGTGGGATATCTTAAGTAGAGTCTAGGAATAGAGGAATGTAGGTGGTATTTCGGGGAGGAGGTCGAAACACACTCGATCAGCATTCCGGAGGTAGAAAAGCAAGGAATGTCGAACGAAAGCGGAGGTCAACCAGGAATGTGTAAAGGAAACGGATGATGGACTTGGCTCTTCTGGCTAGGGACCAGGTGCTCGGAACGACGGATTCGAGCGTGAGAGTAGCACTAGGGACGTCTATCCAATTAGCGTCTGTGACCATTCCTGGCTCGTCTCCGATGGAGGAAGAGGGAGAACGATGTGATGTGTGTTGCGAAAAGAGTAGGAGTGACGATATTAGATCGAGGGTATTTGCAGCCGTATCTTCGCGGACAGCCAAAGAAGGGGCTCGGAGATCAAAGAACTTGAGTGATGATTTGGCAGACGGTTTTTAGTTGAGAAACCTCTTAAAAGAAAACACTAAATATTACCGACTATACAGTAAGAAGCTACTGAAAGGTGCATACCTGGTAGATATTTCGACCCATTCAATCGATAAAATCTATCCTGGAATGCCATACACAGACTCGAGAGTACCAGCAGCAACTCGACGCAACCTCTACTGGCCCTCATCATCCATACCAGAGTCCTTAACCCTCTTCTAATTCTCCCACTCTGCAATGGCCTCCTCTTTCCGGAACTTCATGTTCGTTTCCTTATCCAATTCCTTGTCGATAAGCTCAATGGCCTCCATATACTTCCTTTTATTTCCACTGATCACCGCATCTGTCAGTTGCTCAACAATGGCAAGATCTGATCTTGCATAAAACAGCCAACGCTCAGAGCGAGCCGCCTTTGCTTCCTGTTCATCAATGTTGTCGGCCGAAAGGTCGGTGGTGAAACCTGGCTCGAAGTGGTGTTGGCAGAGTAGGATGTCCAGGATGCCGGGAATGTATTTGCCGCCAAATTTCTCTTTCCATACCGGAAGGAATTCAGCCATTGATGCGTTCATGCGAGATAGGTATAGTTCTTTGCGTGCATAGAAGTTGCGTTGTTTTGTTTGAATGCGGGTGATTCTGATTCTGAGTTTCAATGGAAGGGGAGGACCGGATGATTGTTGGGTGGCCGCCTTCGAGTTTGCCAACTTGCTGGTCCTCTTCGGGGGCATCGTAGGGGTCTGTAGCGAGTCAACTGTTAGCTCCAAGCGAACCAGAAGGAAGAAGTAGCGAAGGCAGTTGAGCACCCGGAGTAACTCGTGCAAAGGGTGTTTTACCGGATTGATCAGAGTATTACTGCCGAAGAACAAGAAAAGAGAAATGCGGGCGATGGTGAGAGGACGGCAAACTCGAGCTGTTGGAATTCGGTAGCTTAAAACGTGGAGTTGATGGGTACAGAAACTTGGGCGATGCTTTGGGCAGTAGATTGGAAAGACTCAATCAGAATTCCTATCACTCCTGCCTTCTTGCAGGCTCTTGGCAACCCTCAAGGAGCAGGAGAAGTCGGACGAAATAACGAAGACGCAAGTAATGAGCTGTATTTGCTGGCTGAGCAGAAGAAGAGGCAAGAATCGCGGAGTTTTGGTGTCACTAAAACTGTAAAAGAACTGTGGAGTAAGAGCGGAAGAGAAAGGTATGCATTGTTGATGCTTGAGAAGCAAGTATGCCAGGAAACCAAAGAAGGCAGGCAGACATCCCGCAACTACTTACACTTCTCGTAGCAAATGTCCGCACTACCGACATGCCCTTAAATCGCACTTGCTAACCTTTCTATGCTAGATTGGGGATAGACACTGGTAGTAACCGTGGGTGGACCATTGACGAGAATGCGCGAGGTACCAAGGCGTGGTGGAGCGAAATAGCCATGCAATCGAGGGCAAAACATGGGTTCGCTTACCAGGGCCATCCAATTCCTCATCCAACCTCCGAATCCACAATGCCAACCCGTTTGTCCCTCTGGTCCCGCGGTGGACAAAGTCGAGCTGGCTGCTCGCACCATCTCTGGTTGTGTAGATGCAAAGTCGGCAAGCCCTACTCCGAGAGAGCCACGATGCGCCTTCGTTCGTACCATCTGCCGTCATTGTGGGTACGGGAGCTCCCTGGCATTGTAGACGTCGGCCTGGGTTGCTGCACTTGCTGATTACCGGAGTCTGCGCGCTGAGATCATCGAAATCTGAGGAGAGATGCAGGATCGTTGGATACTGTTTGAGCGATGCGGCTGTTATTGTCGGACGGGAACCTGCTCAGTGTTTGTGGTGGTTCGGAAACCCTTTCTTCCTCATTTCTTTGTCAACGTCTGTTTGTTTCGAACTGTTGTCTGTATTCGTGCTTCTCAGGCCCTTTGCTGTCGCTTCCTGTAGCGGGCCGAAAGAGAAAGCCAGCAGGTCAAAATTCGATTCGCATTCCGGCATCGAAAAGTTGAAAGAAGTTGCCTGCAAACGTCCATTTCGAGACGACATTCTCGACAAGGCTTTTGCAGGTTGCAAACGTCGAAAATTGTGGTTTCTGTGATGACATTCCTTTATCCAACAATGACGTGCAGTCAGAATCTTCCGGATGCGGTCTGGCTGAAAACGTGATCAGGCCACCCGTGACATCTTGGCAGGCCAACCCCAACTCCCGCCCTCCTGTCCATCCCTCCCACGACAGCGAAGCAACCGTCTGTGTTCCAAACCAAAATCCGTCTATCAAGGCCAGTAAGCGTCCCACTCAGATATGAGTTCTATTTGACAGGGAAATTGTCTAACTTTGCGGTAGCATTCAACTCAACAGGATCAAAGGCGTCCTTCGAACCCTCAGGCCCATTTTTCCCGCCAAAGTTACACAACCCACCAACTCTTCGAACCTTCCGAGCCTTGTTTCCTTCGCCCATGATCTGATGATCCGCCCCAATCAACAGTATCCGCCCAAACTCAACTCTGAATGCGACAATCAACTAACTTGGGATATCGGCAGGGAGGAAATGCCCTTCAAAGACCAAAGGTTCTCAGTATGTCATTTTGGTCTAGACACGAGCGGGTACAGAGTCGAGCACATTATTGGGGTAGGTCCAGAGTAGATTCTCGAAAACCAGCGAAACGGGCTGGGTGAGGATGGTCGCTCGGGGAGGTGTACATTGACAGCTATCTGGCGTGCATTGCGGATCCAATGGCAGGTTTGAATCAGTACATGAGACAGACAGCATTACAGAAAGGCAGGTAGGACGAGTGATAGCTACTTAGTAAGTACTTGCTACTTAGTAGCTATGCCGGATGTTCATTATTCACCTTCCACACCACCCTTTCCAAAGCCTCCACCTCGTGCAAAGTCGGAGAAACCCTCCCACACTCGCACCCCCAATTATCCCGCAGTGCATACCAATTTCGGTACACAATAGGAGTCCACCAAAAGTCGTCATCAGTTACAACAACCGTCCACTTTCCCGGCGAGGAATTCGAAGGGACTCGAGCTGAACGTGCACGTCCATTCCTGACGGCGAAGGACACTTCGCTTCCGGTTTGCCTGTAACATTGTCGAAAGTACTTTCTCCACTCGATGAACAATCTGCACAGCTCCTCTCCCAACATCACATCGTCCACATCGAGACGCAACTCCTCCAGATGGGCAAGTCCGAGCTCTCCATTCTGTTGTTTGTTTATCGTGGAGGAGGCTAGGCGGCTATGGAACTTCCTTCTTTCCTTTTTGCGCCAGCTACTGCGAATCCATGTATGGCCGATGTTCAAAGCCGTTCGCAACATAAACCAGGATGACCAAATATCGCAAAGGTCTTCATCACGATACAATAGATTTTGGATGCGGAAT